GGGAAAATTTGAGACCCACAAATGTGCACGATCAGTTCTGAAATAGGGTCATCTTCTCTATTAGTTGAGTAGTTGAGTAGTTGAGCATTGTAGGCAAGCACACTATCAAAGACGCACGGTTGCTATTCCATTGCAAGGAGTTGATCAGTCCAAAACACCAGGTATAGTTTTTATGTCTAATCTGTTCATTGAAAGCATTACCTCCTCTATTTGCTGAACATGTTACTTGGTTTCATGGGCATGTGCGTCTTTTTGTTTACGTGTGCGTTTTCATGGCTATATAATCTTCCTATTCTGGGTTCACTCTTCTCTTTTCTTTGAATTGAACTCGAAATCACACCTGAACCAATTGACTTATTGAATCGAAATTCCAAATCATTTTTTTGGCTAAGGGAGAAGATGAACAGTTGTGGCGAAGCAAATCGATTTCCTCCACACCCAAGTCATCTTCCCTCTGTTGCGTTCACTTCTGATGAAGATCTTTGGTTTTAATGCCGTTTATTATTCTGTTGATCCCTCCGTGTGTTTCTAAAAATATAAGGGCTAACGGTGTTAACTATGTAAAGTTGAAGGATTTTAAAAAAAGAAAAAAAAATAGAGGTGCCAAATTAAAATTTGAGTGAAACTATAGGTACCTGCAAAATGGTTTTCCCAAAATTATATGGTGTTTTTGGTACACAAGTTATTTTTGTTGTTTTAATTGGCAATATTTTGGTACCTTCATTAAAAAATCATACGTCCTACAACAACACAAAAAAACAGACATTAGTTAATTTTAACGACGCTAGCATTATTGAGCTCTTTTTAAACTTGGATTGATAGATTTGAATCCAAAAAAAAAATTCATGGTATTGGCCAAACTTTTGGTATATTTTTATAGGTATTTTTGACCATTAACCCTTTATTATACTATTATAATACTAGGAATTTTATGGTTAATGAATACGTTTGGTCTTCTAAATTTACATCAAATTTTAACTTAATCTCTTAAGTTTATAAAGCGTGTTTTCATTCTCTTAATATTAATATTCAATACTATTGGTCTTATGAACAAAAAATATAGAGTCAATGAATTTAAATGCTGACAAAGTATACTTTGAAATTAATCATTTAATATAATATTTTTGTATATTGAAAGATAGGTTACTGATACTAAAAAATCAGACGACATCTTCATTATGTTTTATTTTAAAAATTTTCAATTTACAAATTTTAAAGAGAAAATCCCAATTAAATGTAACTAAAATAACAAAATTCAAAATTAGGCCTGCATGTTAAACAAATTCCTGTTACTTCTATTTTTTTCCCCTCACAAATTCTTTTTTTGAGATATGAAAATAGTAAATCTTTAGCAGATGACAAAAAATAACAACACAATCCTCAATTCACATTAAAAATTGCTCCAGCACGGTAATCAATCTAACATTGTGTAAAGTCACTGTTAGGTTTTAATTTTCAATGAGTTTAATTTTCGCTCAATTTTAACATTATTTTTTTGACCGAAAGCAAAATTTCATTAGGGATTCAGACACGAAATCATATACCCAGGAAAATTAAACACTGAAACGGAAGCAACAGGAAATGAGGACCCTAATCGATTTGAGTATTAGATTGTTGGAACAATTATTAATCAGGATTGAAGACTGTGTTGTAATTTCTTATTATCGGCTGAAGATTTTCTATTTTCATATTTTAAAAAAAGAATTTGAGGGAGAAAAATATAAAAGCAATAACTCACATATTAACTATATAGGGATATTTTGGACTTTTAACATGAAAAATCCTTAATCCGGCTTCTTGGTATGGCTAGGAATTAGTTCAAAATGTATGCTTGATTTTGAATATTTGGCATTTCAGCTAGATTTAATAGGGATTTTCTCAATTTTAAATTAAAGATTAATATTTCATCATTTTTCCATTTTTCGTTAATATAACTAACGGTGTTAGCATTAATGGATTGAAAATGGATTTTATAAAATTAAGGAAATTTTGGTAAAAGATCCCATTTTTTAATACCTAATTGGTTAAAATGATCTAAATTTGAACGCATGTAAGTGTGATTCATGAGTGTAACTTCACATTAGCTATGTGCAACATATCTTCCATTGTATACAAATGATTTTCATATTAATAATTGTTGCACATCATTGACAATATATTGCACACAACAAAAGAAAAGTTACACTCACATATCATTGTTGCACTTGATTACTTGCTCAAATTTATGTCCTTTTAACCAATCAAGTTTTCAAATAATGTTTTGCTCAAAAAAAAAAATTCAAAGAGGGACTTTTAATCATATTTCCCTAAATTTAGGGGACTAAATTAAAATTCAATGTAAATTTAGAAGACCAAACATATATACGAACCTTAAAGTCATTAATATTATAATAATATAATGAAATTTAATATTTCTTTTTTTTTTTTGGAAAAATGACTACAAAATACCTTCTGAATTTCAAAATGACAAAACAGTCATTTAAATAAGCAAAATGACCAAATAGGCATGAGGTACTGATCTAGAATTTGCACTTTTGGTATAAAGACTGAAATGTCCTGATTGTTTCTAAACACTGAGTAGTGTATTCGTGCGATAGAGAAAGGGAGAAACTAATTTCCTTCGACAAAACTAAATCCAAGTTCCTCCAGTCACCAAAAAGAGTTCTTCAAAATCACATTGCTGCCATCGCAAGAGTAGATTGCCATCGCTGAATTTGGTTATCATCGTTGAAATACATTGCCCTATCTGAAATAACTCGTACTCCCTGAGATTTTCGTCGTCAAAGAGGTCGTTGAAGTAACACCAACTGTGATAAACAAGTAGGAAGCTTAAATATTATTCTTCATAGAGCATTTTTTATGGGTCCCCAAAACATAAAATATTATTGTCTAGCATTCTTCTTTCTGGTTCTATCTCTAATCTTCGCATAAAACCGTTTTCAGGGAATGTGAAGCTGTCTGGTTTTCAAGTATTATTAAACCATTTGTCCTGAATTTTACAAAACACATACTGGAATTTATAACTTTCGTAGTGAAAGTGACCACTTTGTTAATGGGTTTTGCAACCTGTTTTCAGAAAATAAACAACTTATTTATAAAAACTAATAAAATTCCACACTAAATTTGACAAAACATATAGTGAGATTTACAACTTTTGTAGTGAAAATAACCACTTATTCAATGGGTTTTGCAACCTATTTTCAGGGGATGGGCAACTTGTTTCTAAAAACTAATAAAATTTCACGCTAAATTTGACAAAACATATAATGGGATTTACAACTTTCGTAGTGAAAATGATCACTTCTTTAATGGGTTTTGCAACATGTTTTTAAGGAATGAGCAACTTGTTTCTAAAAACCAATAAAATTCCATGCTGAATTTTACAAAACATATAGTGGGATTTACAACTTTCATAGTGAAAATGACCACTTCTTAAGTGGGTTTTGCAACCTCTTTTCAGGGCATAGGCAATTTGTTTCTAAAAATCAATAAAATTTCACGCTGAATTTTACAAAACATACAGTGAGATTTACAACTTTTATAGTAAAAATGACCACTTCTTAAATAGCTTTTGCAACCTGTTTTTAGGGGATAGGCAACTTGTTTCTAAAAACCAATAAAATTTCACACTGAATTTTACAAAACATATACTGGGATTTACAACTTTTGTAGTAAAAGTGACCGTGTTGTTAATAGGTTTTGCAACATATTTTTAGGGGATGAGTAACTTGTTTTTGACCACTAATAAAATTTCACGCTGAATTTTACAAAACATATAATGGGATTTACAATTTTTATAGTGAAAATGATCACTTCTTCAATGGGTTTTGTAAACCTGTTTTCACCAGAAGGGCAACTTGTAAGCATAAATAAATCATTTAGTAAACATGCACCTGAAGTACATCACAATAAACATTGAACTATTAACTTTCATAATTAACTACATGTATAATAAAATCTACCATTCACGTAATGGTATTTATCAAAAACCAACAGGCATATGACAGCAGTTACATTACGTAATTACTTGCCACCATTTTCTGATTTTTGCTTCATCATTCACTAAATACTGAATATAAACCCTCAAATGCAATAATCCTGTTCCTATTTCACCATGAAGCAGCCACAAAAATAAATAATCCAAATCCCGCCATCAACTTCTACTCACTCACGTAATCCCACAGGTTTACTCTCTCTCTTACTACAAATCCTCTTTCCCACAACCAAAACCCACCAAATCAACAATGTCTACAGAATAGTGATGCGGAGGAGTAAGATAATAGCATTTCCAATATTCTTCTTTCCTTCTTTTCGTGTTTCATCAACGTCTTTCTCTACTTGTTTTCTTCTCACTTTCAGCTCCTTTTTACCTCACTCATCAGGGCAATTCGGTCATTAGGCCAAAAATCAAAATCCCAGATTGGTACCTGATACCTTCTTTGTCATTTTGCTTATTTGAAAATTCAGACGGTATTTTATGATCAGTTTCCCTTTGTTTTTTCAAGACAGAAAAAATTTATTTGCACAATCATAGATACCTTTGCACCTGCAAAAGAACATGTGGCCTCTATCGCACTTTAGTTAAAAGTTTATAAGTATTTTTATATATTTTTCTTTTTAATTGGGTATTTTTGTACTTCTATAATATTAGTATGGCCCTACCGCTATTAGGTAAATTTATCAGTATTTTTGGACTTCTCCAAAGTTTATGGTGCTGAGTGTAACTTGAATAAAACTCTATGGACATTTTTGCTAACTTTATTTAAAAAAAAAAAAAAGGACTCATAGGCATCAGGTGGAATAAGAAGGGGAAGGGAAAGTACGAGAAATTTCAATGAAAATACAGGAACAAAAATAAATAAGTTACAAGAGCTTAGCTCCTACCAAGAGGTATACAAAAATCGACACAAAGTCCATTCCCAGAATCAGCACAACAAAATTGAAAAATAGCAAAATACCCTAAAATTTAAGATTCATCATGCATATTGTAATGTCCATTGTTATGAAGGGAGTGCATGAATCCAATTGAAGCTACCTGCATGAATCACTTGAAACCAATTTGGTATCCCCTGGATTTGTAAATCCTTGAATTTTCTCTTAGTGGGATCATAAGTAGCCAAAGCCTTGCCTTTAAACTCCAACAAAATTTCGCCATTGTCAAGAACACACACAGCTCTAACACTTTTAGCTCTTGATACAGTCTTCAAGAATTTCACACCCCAAAAATCCAATTCATAATTCTCTTTTAACCCCTTAGGAACATGATTTCGAATGCTGAATTCCTTGATCCAAGATTCCTTTACCCCATAATTTTTCATTACCCATATCTCTAATCTTCCTCTTCTGCAGTAAAATGCCGCAGAAAGACAACCCTTTATCACAAGCAAATGGAATTCATATTTCTTTAAGGTTTCACTATATGGAATTGGAACGTGTTCGTATACCTCGTTTGTGAGATCAAATGAAACAAGAGCACTCCAACGATTCCTTCCTCGTTTCCGTGGCTGAGTAACCCAATGGAGTCTTCCATTAACAAGAATCTGTGATGTACATTGAACAAAATGATACTCTACTTCACCTATATCTCTCCACTTTGAGCTTCCCAGACTTAAAATCAGGGTCCTCGAACATGGTGGTGCAGTTTCTCTAGGATAATCTTTGAAGGGGTTTATGCTTATGACTTGAACAACTTTGAATTCCTGCGTTTTCTGAACGAAGCCGAATCCAATCACGGACTCTTGATTTGGGTGTTTCACGGGTTGAGGAAATTGTTTAAAGAAATTAGTGAAAGGGTTATACAGATAGAGTTTGTCACCGAACAAGGAATCGAACAAGCACAATACGCCATCCCATGACGCTACCACATCAAACTCAGGCATCGAAGAAGTGAAAATTGGAAGGAGATTAGTGACCTTTTGGATGTTACCTGGAGAAGAAATGAAGTCTGCCAAGCAAACTTGACTTCGAATCGGAGTGTCGCAGTGGAAGATTAAGCACTGATTGTTCTTGGTGATGCCAGAGAGGTGAGGAGCAATCGAAGGGTCCTGTGCTAAGGATCGCCATGATCGGCAAACGTACATGACATTGAGCAAAGACGAAACGGGTAGCTTTGAAAATATCTCTAAAACGAGTTCACGAGGGAGTCTCGTGAGAAAATCGAGTGGTGGTGCGCGATGTTCAAGCTTGGGTCTCTTGATTCTGCTCTGTTCTGCAGAGTCCAAATCCATGGATGAGGGTTGGAGAAAGCAATGGAGATTTGGAAGGAGGAAGGGATAATTTTATTGAGGGAATCAAAATAGGGATGGAAACAAGGAAGAAATTTCTTTGACTAAGACAAACTACGAATCGAGTATCGGATTTTGTGGAAGGGAAATTGGATTTGCTTTTTTTTTTTGTTTGTTGGGGTTCTTTGTGCCATTGAATTTGGACTTGCTTTTGCACTCTGCTTTTTCGTATTTCAGGAAAGTGAGGGGGAAAGTTCGTCACGTTTGAAAACGCATACGGTGGAAAACTGCAAAGTTAATGATATTTTTTAAATTCTGACAGCGATTTTGAGTCTACGGCTTTTATAACTTCATATAGATATGCCATGTCAGTCCCAAAAAAAAAAAAAAAATATATATATATATATATATATAGACATGCCATGATTTTTATCTTTAGTTTTTAAGCGATTCTTATGTTTTGTAACTTACAATTCTAAATTCAAATCTTCATCAATAACAACACTTTTATAATTGCAAATATAAAAAATGATACATTATTAGTTACTCCTCCAGGACCTAATTATTAAGTTAATTTTGGTCCTAAATATAAGACCTATTTATTATTTTTTTCTAAATTACCTCTATAGATATTCTCTATAATCAAGTAAGTGAGGGATAGATGATATTTAGAAAGATGATTATGGTGTTTTAAAAAAAATATACTCCTCCGGTCCTTAATATAAGACCCATTTAACTAATTTGATTAGATTAAGGAAATTATGTAAGTTAGTTAATTATAAGAAAAGTGACACATTTTTCCTAAAATATCACAATCATCTTTCTTAATACCCCATCTCTTTCTTCTACTTGATTATGGTTGAGGGAGTATCCATAGGAGTAATTTAGAGAAAATTAATAAATATGAGAAATGGGTCCTATATTTAGAACCAAAACCAACTTAAGAATTGGGTCCTATATTAAGGACCGGAGGAGTATCATATTTTTTATATTTAACTAATTTACCTAACTTTCTTAATTTAATTAAATTAGTTAAATATGTCTTATATTAAGAAGTGAATGAGTATATATTAACAATATGAGATTAATCCTGTCAATGCTTAGATCCATATGCGTGATCTATAACTATATGATATATATATATATATATATATATATATATCCCAATTTTACAACTAGGGGTGTTTAAAGTGGAAGAATAATATCTCCATTTAACTTCCTCTCGACCTCCCTCCATTTACTATCTCTGCCAATTAAATCAACATCCAATTTTTGAGATTTAATACACTGTAATAGTATTATTATAATATTAATTAAACAATAAAAATCTATATAAGCAATTAGAAATTAATATGTATACATAGTCGGTAGATTTTTATTAAAACATTTTATAATTCTTTTATTTTTATCATGATTATGATAATATTTATTTATATATAGATTATATTTTTTTATAAACATAGATTAAATTTATTTATATGTATTTTTTATTGTTTAGCATTATACTAATACTACTATAGTGTATTAAATCTCAACCATTAGATGTTAATCCAACGGTAGAGATAATAAATAGAGGAAAGTAGAGAAAAAGCTAAGTAGAGATAATAAATGGAGACATGGACACGGTCATCTCGTTCCAATAGTATTATGTTTTTTTAATTTTTTTTACACCAGTTGCGAAACTTGTAAAACTGGTATAAAAAATATTACTTTTAAAACTGAATGTTCTTCTAGCCTGTGTAATGTTGGGAAATTTTATTAAAAAAAATCTACTTAAATTGGTTATATTTGTTATGACAAGTTTAAGAAGTAAACCTATTTTTTTAATTAATTATTTTTCTTATACTGGCTAGTTGTTCTTATGACATTTATCTTTTCTAGGTTTTTTTTTTGTTTGGTTTCTCTATTTTGCAACCTTAAGTGGTTAAATGATTTTTAAGTATTAGATTTTGTGGATGTATCTTCACTTGATGTTTGCTTGCAGCTGAAGGCTAGTTTATTTTGCAAATGTTGATGAAGTCAAATATCACAAGTCTTAGGTTAGGCGCTATTATTCAATAATAAATAGGTGTTTTGATCACCAGCATTAAAATAGAATATACAAATGTTCCCAATGTATTGTTCGAGATTACAACAAGAGTCACTCTTATTTACTAAAATAATTACAATAGACTTGATTTTGAATTGGTAATTAATTATGACCAAGTGATATAGGTTTTTCTCACCAAAGAAACCAAACTATAGGTCTTGGTTTCCTTTGCAATCAAAACCCACCCTACTTGGTCATAATCAACCATCATATAGTAGAGACTTTTTACCTTTGTTCTATAGGACTTTTCACTTCTATTTTGGGAGAAACATAGAAAGAAGAGACATAATAAATACCCTATATGTTACTTCTGTCTTAAACAGACATAAAAAATCCCACTTTTCATGTCTATTCATAACAATTTTCTCGTTTGTTTTTCAAAAACAGAAGTAAAAAAATTCTACTTTTCATGTGTGTTTTTGCCAAAAACAAACATGACAAGTGATATTTGTTTTTTTTTAAAAAAAAAAAAGGCTTTTTTTTGGATTAGAAGTTATTCCAATCCAAAAAATTACCCTCTACTTATTATTACATAAAAAATATTTTAATATTAACATATCTAAAGAAATTAATCAAAAATAATTACACTGAATTCATAATTGTCAAAACTATCACAATTGTCAAAACTCCAATTGGGTCATTCATATGAAATCCAATTAGATGCTCTTCTATCCTGACAATAACACTTTGGAACCCTTGAAAGAAAAATGTGTAGCAACCTACCAGCTCTAGGTGCTAATCTAGATAATCGTCAAACAGAAGGTGTTCATACAAATAGGAGAAATACATAAGAAATCAATACATTCAACTAAAGACTAAACCAATAGCTTCACTATGCTCTTTCTTTGAGACGACCTTGTCAAGTTTTGTAACTTCATCTGCACAAAACAAAAATAATCCGACATCAATCCTTAATTACCTTTTTGCATTGCATCAGAATGGTTCAAATGAATTAATAATGAAATGAACAAGACATACTTCAAAATTATAGTGCCTTGTTACTTGTGCGTGCTTTGCAAGTATCAAGCCTTGTTCAAAAAATTTCAATCAATGTCCAAGTAGCACTTACTTCCAGCAACAAATCAAAAGCTTTTGCCAAAAAAAATCATGAAATTTTTCAAGAAAAAGGGTTTGGATTCAAATCTGAAAAGTTACAAACAAATTCCAGCAAGTTATACTTGAAAACAAGTCTGCATAGATTTAAGATGACACTCAATCAACTAGAAGAGAATGGAGGAAACTTTATCTTCTTTTTTCTAAAGATGGTGCCCGTATGTGATCTAACAAAACAACATGACAATTAATGATTCGAGGTGCTTTAACCCTTCAATGAACGACTAGTCATGCAGTTTTATGGCAGACAAAATGAGAAACGATAACATAATTAGATTTAAATGATTAGGTAACTCAAATCTCAAAAATTTCACACTTGTGACAGCAAACACAATAGCTCAAAATCAATACTTTGACAGTAGAATCAGCGTCTACAAGCAACTCAAAAGTTTTCAGCAAGATCAAGGCACAGGAGTTTACAATAATAGCATAAATGACCAATTTCAGTTCAAATCTAGATATTTCACCAGACAGCATAAGATTACGGCTATTATCCAAGGATTAAGCACACAGGTTATTGAAGCTATCTGCAGAACAGGAAGTACCCAAATCTAGTGACAAGTGAGCTCAGAATTAAAGTTGGCAAATTGAAGAGCTACAGAATTTGAAAACTATATATGAACCAGGGTACCTTAAAAGAAAGTTGATGACAATACAAATGCATACTGCTAAAAGAACATCGTGAACAGATGTTAACGTCTTGTAGGAAAATTGATATAATAACAGGCTTGGTTGGTATGAATAGCAAGCTTCTACTCTCAAGAATCACCGCAAGTAATATGATTGAATCTGTTTAGTGAATGTTAAGCTAAAAAATATAATTCCATTGTATTGATCTGATCTAACTAGTTAATAAAATAACTCTTAAAAACTAAGTTCTCATGCAACTGTGATTGAATTAATTTACACTTGTTTATTTATTTAATTCCTGTCACAAATTCATTGTCCCCTACGGCTAGTCAGGAGGAAAAGAATTGATTAGTTAATATAAATAGAATGAAGGAATAAAGCTTATCTTAACATCCTCCACATGTTGCCGCAACTTCTTTTGATAGCAAAATTCAAATGACCACTAACCCTCTTGCTGCACAAACATATTATTAATGTGAGGAAATGATTTAAAATAGATATCATATAATAGAAAAGGTTTAGATATATACTAACTCTGATAAAGCATCGATCCTTTAATACTTCCAACAAAACATCAGGTCTCTTTAATTGAACCCTTTTCTCATATTCAACAATCATGCTGCTAATATTGTGCTGGATAACTGGCCTTCCACTTTTTTCCTTTTCCACCTTAGGCAAGAAGCATATAAATTTCTGTCCATTTTTATCCGGCGTGACTATAGATTTCTAGTCATTATCCTATTAATAAATCATCACCAACACTTTAGGAAAGAGCGGAAAGATTTTGGACATGGGTTAGCGGGTCAGGCTCAAAGTTATGATTTCTCTTCAATTTAAAAAGAATAACAAAATTAAAACACAAGCAATTGGAAAGGATATGAAAATGTAAATAAACATCTAACAGAAGATCACATTCAATAACAGTTTTCACATAGAAAAAAGCATCATAAAATGAACAAGGGATGAATCACCCATAGAAAGGCAATAGCAAATGAATACGAATTTATTCAAGCTTACAGGATGAAAAGGAGAATCTTCTGGATGGAATTCAATCGTGTACTTCGGTTTATGAGAGCTATGACCATATGTGCCACCATCGACGAACAAATCAGTTAATGTATTAGTGATTAAGCTTAAAAAGAGACAGAAAATCTACAGCACAAAATATAATATTGCATTTTGTTGCATTAGCACTAGGAGCACCATCCTTTACAAGATGGCAGTACTAAGACCAATCAGCACTTTCATACCGAATTGGCACTTGAATTTAGGTAATTAGAAATTAGAAAAGGACTGAAAGCAATAAATTGCAACAAGGAACAGAGATCTTTGATGCTGATTAGAATTACTTTAACAGGAATTGGTTTTAGAGGCTTAAAAATTGCCTGCAATGATTCGAAGATGAAATTCAAATAAACCACACAATCACAAAATTCTTCCAGAGTGAAAAGAAAAAGAAATAAATTGTACCTTCGTTTGACCATTAGGGCATGATTGCGAAAGTTTCTCTAGCTCTTCTTCAATCAACAGTTCGGCCAAAACAGAGAAGAGCGTCTCCGACTTCATTCCCTCCTCCATCAATCCACAATCGCGACTCCATCTTCCAAAATCATCATCTCCCTCTGCCTTTCACCACTATAATCATCGACCAAAGGATGAAGGAGTAGCTCATAGAATCAGTCAGTCACAATGGACCAAAAACCCTTGACTTGATCTCCCATCAACCTCACAAACCCATTCAGCCAAACCAGAACCATCGACACCTTGATCTCTTTAATCTTCATCACCTATGTGTGTTTGCACGCTGACGGAGAGAGGTCGCTGAGTGTGCGCGGTCCATGGGAAAGAGGTCCTGCGGCGCAGTGGCAGAGAGCGACGGGCAAGTGGAGAAGTTGCGCAGTAGGGCAAAAATAAAGCTTAAAAAAATAAGTTATAAAAACTTCAGAGGATATTCTCGTCTATCGTGAATAAATAGACGAGAATGTCCCTGATATTCTCTTCTGTTTCTGCAAACAGGAGTTTCTGAATACAGAAGAGAATACTCTGGATTCTTGTCCGGTTATTAAAAAAAAAAAACAGACGAGAATACTTTACATTTTCTACTCCATTTTAAGAAACAGATAAGAAAAATAACTTTTCTCTTCTTTTTTTCAAAACAGACATGAATGAGGGAGGTAAAAAGTACATTTTGTTGTAGTACAAAATGTAACTTATTGGAAATACAAAAATTAAGTTTATTATGTAATTAGTTTCTTTAGACAAAAATCTTTTTGCTTATAGCCCCAACAAATAGGTTAGGGATATCTGCGTGGTTCAGTTTGAGCCCACAAAAATCTAAATACCTAAGATTAGTAAACCTAGCACCCAGTCCAAGGGCAGCAACATTTCAACTTTGTTTATGCTCACAAAAGGAATTAGACCTTTACTACAAGTAGACTTGGTGTATAAATTTTAATTTATATACTTTCAATACTTGTAAAAATCACCTAAGCCCTCTCAAGCTGGGGATAAAACAACCAAACAAAAAAAAATTGTAAAAAACAAAATATAATGCAAGTTAACAACTAGCTAATATTCTAGATTAACACATAAAGAAGTATCCAATAATAAACAACAAAACCAATCGAACTCCAAACTATGTAGTCGAACTACAGACTATGTCTAGCTTCATAAAACCATGCTTCTAACCACTTAAAGCAAGATAACATTATATTAATCAGAAGAGGCAAGCAATAAACACATAAACAACAATGTTAGGGCTTAAGGAGAGCTTTAAGAGTGAACGAATGAGTTACTTAAACTAAGGGAGTACATCACGTGATTAACGATGAAAACTCATCGATGTCGACGATGACGATGTATATCTCACACAAAAAGAACATGGGTATTAGGGCTTATTATAAGTAGCTTAAAGGGGACTTAAAATAGTGATAATGAACATACTAGCGGCAAGAATAAGATGGCAATGACAACGTAGACAGACGGCCAGTAATGGCAATGAAAAGGGACGATGCGAGTACTCCATGTCATCCCATGAAAATAGCTCAAGAGGAGAGAGTGCCAAAAAGATTGCTTTGTTAGAGCATAAAATTGAGTGAGAGCCTATATATAGATAGGGAAACTTTTGACACTGTTTAACCTAGCACTGTTATACATATTATATCGTAGATCAAAAAATTGGTGTAAATTTTGTTTAATACATTATAGGTGTTGCTGATCAGTGTAAATTTTGAACAAGTGAAGCCCTGAAAACCGGTACGAATTCATATGTTCTTTAAATGAGTATGCATTTCCAATTTTAGGATTTGATATTATTAGAAGAAAAATGTAAGAAAAATGAAAAAAATTAACAAAATAAAAAAGCACAAAGATCATCAAAAACAAAATATTCATTTATATATATTATGACGGGAGGCCTGGAGGTCATTACAAAATGTTGGATAAAAAACATTACGTATCTATATTATAAACGAAAAAACTACTCTTGTTCCTTGTTAAGAAGAGGGATAGGAGGAGGGGGCTTCTTCTTCTTCTTCTTCTTTGGAGGCGATGGAAGGGTCGTCCAGCTTATGTCATACTGTCAATCATTGAATAGGGAGTTGACTTTGCTGTTGAGGGAATAGAAGTAGACAATGATACAGCTAAGGCCACATTCAATGGCAACTACTTTGCTAAGTATCAAACAGGGTCAAATGAGGTAAAAGAGGAGTTGACCAGGGAGGCATACGCGGAGGAGGAGGGAATGGATCACGCACAAGTAGTGTTCTATGGCGCTTTACCATTGTAAATCTGCTGGTGATGGAAGAAAACAATGGTGGAGAAGAATAGGTGGGTTCTAGGCTTAAATAGATGATGACAAGACTTGATGACCTTTGAGGTTCAAACATGTTGCTTCAGGAGAATGAAAATGAAAGAGATAGGTTCTTCCTTTAGTTTTCTAATGTTCATATCATTAACACTAATTATTTTCCATAACCAATGTATATAAGTTGCATTTGCATCGATTCGGTAAATCTCCATTTTGAATAATAAATATTATATCAAACGCTTGCATAAACAGTGTAAACATTATATCATTATTTACCAAAATGTCATATTGCCTTATTTATCACATTATTGGTGCAATAATCAGTATAGATAAGACAATGTAAAAAGGGGTTTTATTATTAGTGTTTTTTAAATTTTCCTCTTGAAATGTTTTTTTCTTTGTTTTGATTACGGAGAATATTTTAGTGGATAGAGAATGAACGTAGATTTTAAAATTTATTTTCAAGAGCTAGAAGCATAATTTTGGATCAGGGACTAAAGCATTACTACAAAAAAACAAGATAAAACATTATGCACTATTGATCGTAGGGTCTAATTATCATTAACACTCAGGTGTCAGAGTCATACTCTTTTTCTATTGGAGCCACTCATCCCTTGTTTTTCTTGTTACTTGAAGAAACTTCATTAACCAAAGGCATAGAAAGGTAAGTATTGTATGTCACATCCCGTCAAATTTAACCCTGAGAACATGCATAGTAAATTAGGTAGAGGGTCAAATAGTAAAGTAGACTTAAAGATATAACAACTTTTGAGTTAAGCTCTGACCTTTGTCCACACTGATATTTTGAAATTATCGATCTAAGAAGGGCAAAATAGAAAATTAAAGAAATTTTTTTAAAAATTCCCAAAAAATAGTAAAAAGATAAATTAGAGGTTTTGGAATCCTATTTGATGCTCTAGAGGTGGAAATGGCATAGAAATAAATTATTACAGAATTTTCTCTAAATAGAGGTTTTTCAGAAAAAACAGTAAAAAAAAGCCCGAAACAAGTATTTTAAATATATAAATGCCTCAATAATTTTAGAAAAATTTTAGAAAAATTATTTAAGGGTTCATTGGAATTTATAAAATTATTTCCAGGCCCTAAAGGTGAAAGAATTAATTTTAGAATATTTAATTACTAAAATTTGATCGGTAAAGCCCAATTTCGGAGAAAATTCAAAATAAATAGTTAGAGGTGAAGATCAATTTACAAGCTTTCTAGAATGCTTTTCTATATTAGAAATGAGTTTTTGATTAAGAGAAATAAATTTTTAGAGGCCCAGAACTATTTTTGAAAATAATAACCGACATAATGATTTTTGGTCAAAAAATGATATTTATGAGTGGGCCCTACTTTTTTATTATTTTTAAATCAGATTTAGACTTCATATTAGGCTAAGAGGGCCCAAAAATTTTGTGCAAATGGTAGCCCAACAATTAAGGAGCCTTAAGCCCAAATTAAGTCAAAATATCAATGGGAAAAATCAAGCAAAGGGACACTTGAAAAAATCAAAAAAATTAGAGCATTTGGTGGCAGCTACATGGACATTTTTGCTGGCCAATTTTGTCCACAAGTAAGTAGTGGGAGGCCAGATATTTGGCATATAAAGATCCCCTCATTTCATGCACAATTGGGCCAAATAGAGAAAAATAGGGAGAAATTCTGCCAAAATCAAAACTCAACTCTAAATAGCTCCTAATACCCTCCAAATTTAAGGAAAATTATCAAGCTTCATGTTAGGATCCATTAAGGTATGTCTAAACTTGATTTTGGTTGGATTTAAGGGTTGTTTTGATTGAAATTTCATGACAAATCCCATGGTGTTATGCTATCATAATTCGACCTGATTGAGGAAGCATTAGGGAAGGATAGAAACCATGAATATAGACTTATAATTACATGTTTAATTGATGTTTAGATTAAATTTTGGAAGAAATCAACATTAGGGTTTATGTAACCCCTATTCGGTCACTATGATATCTTGGGGGTAGGAGCTTGTTTCAATGTAACTTGATGATTCCAGTGAGTTTAAAAGGTATTTTTGTGCAGGGAAACAGCAAGAGAAAGTGTTTAAAATCACTAGAATCAAAAATAAAAATTTTAGAAAGTAATACTGCCCTATTTGGCCAAAGTGAATTAAAGGGGAAGGAGTGTGATTTTGTTAAATCTAATTTGATATTTGGATTATTCATGAAAAATTGTGTAGGGATGACTCAAGAGATTGATGAAAACAAAGAGGAAATAATTATGTCAAAAATCAAGGAAAAAGAGGTTTAATTGAATTCAA